ATTAAATCAAAAGAACGCGGCTTTTCTTTCGACGGCGGTACTCCTCATTTCACGAGGAAGAACACCTTTTTTCGAAAGTGCTCTTTCGAAAAAAGACGTACTTGAATGCAAACAGGGCTTTTTCGAAAGAGAGCATCCAGACTGCCTGGGTGCTCTTTTTCGAAAAAGCGGCTTGCTTTTTCAAAAGTACTGCTTGCAGTCTAGACGCTCTTTTTCGAAAGAGGCTTGCAGTCTCGACGTAGCCACTGTGAACAGCCTCTCTCCATCCTCTTTGGAACCCCCCTCCAGGGAACTGAAGGCTGCTCTCAAATCCCCCCTCACTCTTCTCTTCTGCAGACTCAACAAACCCAAATCCCTCAGCCTTTCCTCTGGGCCACATGCTCCATCCCCTAATCATTCTTCTCCCCATCAGCGGTCAGAGTCCGGATAGAGCCGTCTCAGGAAATCCAGGAAGGAGCCGCAGTCAATGTGACCTGCGTGGTTGCCAGTTGGCTCGGGGGAGAGACCAACTACACCTGGTATAAGAACAGCAAATGGCTGCAGGACGGCCCAGCGAGCTCGCTCCATCTCGACAGAGTAACCAGCACCGACACCGGGTCGTACCACTGTCGGGCAGAGGGCAGGACTGGGAGAGCCACCTCGGCCCTGCTCAGCTTGGACGTGCTCTGTGAGTGTCGCTGGGCTCGGTTTGTTCACGCTAAATCAAGGCAACTTGGAATCGACATTGTTATTATAAGCGGGGGAATGGTCCCGCTATTGTGGGGAACTTTCCTGGCTTCTATACACCCCGGTGAAATGAACCAGCAAAAGGATCTGAGTCCCCGCTCCCACTTCCTTTACCCCACAGCTCCCTGATCCTGAGGGCTCCCCCTCCACTCTCCTGAGTAGCAGAGCCCTCGAAACCCCAACAAGGCTGGGCCCAGGTTTCCTGGGGCTTAATCCCCGACCTTGTAGTCACTAGGGGCAGGAGTTAGGGTGTCCCCACTCTGAGGTGCTCTCTTCACACTGCAGGCCTTCTTGGCCCAGTGATCACTTCATAAGGTTCAAAGCAAATACAATTTATTAAACATCAACTGATTAGAGAGAAAAGAATAAGAAAAAATGAGAAAGTTTAAATGAGAACACACAGCCCTGCTCTGTAGCACGGGGACATCAAACCAGCAGCCTGCAGAGTGTAAGGACAGTCCACAGTCTCTTCCTTAGAGGCCCCTTAGAGGCCCTGGATGTGCTGCAGGGGGGCTGCAGGCTGGATGCGCTTGCTCTGGCAGTGACCACACAGCCTCAAGCTCTAAGTGGCCAGACCCCTCTCCCAGTCTGGCCTGCTGGGCCTCTTGGCTGGTGATATCTCCCTGCCCAGAGCCTCTCCCCCCTTTGCTGGTCCCAGCTGCTCACCACACCTAGCTGCAGGCTGTGCTGCTTTGCTAGTCTCCAGCTCCTTGCGTTGCTTCTCTGTCCCTTTTGGCTCTCTGAGCACTGCCAGTCTGCTGCTCAACACAGGGTCTGCGCGTGCCTGGCTCTGTTGCTGCAAAACTGCCCCTCAGCACAGCTTGCACTCCTTGGGCTGTGTGTGTCTGGCTCTGTTGCTGCAGGACTGCTTCTCCACACAGCTTGCACTCCTTGGGCTGTGCGTGCCTGGCTCTGTTACTGCAGGACTGCTTCTCCACACAGCTTGCACTCCTTGGGCTGTGTGTGTCTGGCTCTGTTGCTGCAGGACTGCTTCTCCACACAGCTTGC